GATAACTAAAGGTCGCAAAGACAAATAACCCACATAAATATGAATAAGGGGTTCAATTCAATAAAAAGTTCGGAAGGTGTAAAGGTCATACGAAGCACACCAGCCAATCGTTATCGTTTTCGTTGATTGTGGAAAGGTCACCAAACTCTGACGAAAAGTCATAAAAAATGTTTAAAGGTCAAAAGGTCATCGAAACGGATTCCAGAAAGGTCGTCATAGATGAAAAGTCAACAGGAAGGTCCTCCAGTCGAAAGCTCATCAGACTCGGACTGAATCATACGAGAGAAGCGAAAGGTTATCGAAAGGTCAAGATACTCCGACCGAAATTCAAATGGAACAACGAAAAGGTCACGAAAGTCCGGAATCTCCAGAAATTGTCGACCAGTCCAAAGGTCATCGGACTCTAACTGAAGTTCAAAATGAAGTGCAGACGTCGACTGAAGCAAAAGCGGAAGAAGTGGAAAGTCAATCGGAAGGTTAAAAGACTCCGGCAGAAATCCAAATGGAACAGCCAAAAGGTCACGAAAGATCTGTATCAGTAAAAATGAAAGGTCAGCAGACGAGATTGTGAAGCCAGATCACCGAAAACTATAAGGTCAACGTCAAATGTCAAACGAACCAAGTGTAAGGTTCAAGTGAAAGGTCAAGTGAAAGACCAACTGAAAGGTCACGGAACTTTGACAGAAAAAGACGAACAGCCTAAAGGTCAAGAGACGTCTCGAACCGTGGAGAAGGAAGCGCAACCTAAAGGTCAAGAGAGTTCCGTGTCTACGGAACAACCGAAAGGTCACGAGACTTTGAAAGAAGGTGGGAAAAAAGAGGTCATGCTCCCCATGTAAAAAGCGGCAGTAGATGCAGACGCGGACTCCGCGCGACAGGTGGTTCAAAAAATCGTTGTTTACACTGTTGAAAGAGGTTTCAGCGACGGAGAAACCGAAAGGTCAAGAGATTCCATTGACGACCGAGAAATCAAAAGGTCACGAGACTTAGCCGAGAAAAGAGAAGACTGACGAACCGAAATCGACTCAGTCTTCGTCCGGATCATTGGCGAGATTGACAATCGATGAGAAACAGAATCAGGAAACAGAACCAACGCACTCGGCATTCCCCCAGAAACCGGATACGGGCGGTAAATAAGCGAAATGATACATGTTACCAGAACACAACAAAAATGCGTGGAGAAGGGTCATAACTGATGCGACATTGGATAATATACGACGAACAAAAGGAACGACATGACCTTTTTGAGTTACAACGCTGCCAACTTCGAAATGGAAGAATTTTGTACTCGAATAATGGCGAACAGATCGAAAACAGTTGAATGCTAATTAGTTATCGATGGAGCACTTGAACTGGCGTAAACGACAAAATGTGAAAGGTCACCGCGTGAATGAAGCAAATGACCTTAATGATGTAAAGAAAAAGGTCATGAAAGGTCATCAGAAGCGAATGTCATGGTTAAGTATAAAGGTCACGTAACATGTTAACTTAAACTGCATTAGTGCAATTGTTGTTTTCAGCGTTTATAGCACAGAATTGCCTAAAAGAAACCATGTGGAGTATCTATTGGGGTTCAAATTGATTCGGTCTATAAAGCCGGCCCCAAGGGAGTAGTTACGGCAGTTAGCCGGCTCTCCTCCTTACGCGATTCAGTGTTATAAATTGACAAGAGAAACTACGGTAATCAAGCTGGATCTCTTGAATACGAAACGGGGCCACAAGCGGCGAAAAAAAGAAAGAAAACAGGTGGAATATTGATGAGGTTTACTTAATGCGGCAACGTGCCGGCCTCATTAGAGTTGTTACGGTAAACTGTGCCGGCACTCTCTTTAAGCGATTCAGTGTTAAAAATAAACGAGAAAAACTACGGTAACCAAGCCGGATTTCTCGTAGTAATGTTAGCCACAAGCGGCGAACAAGAGTAAAAGATTAAATGTGGAAATTTCATGGGGTAAACTCAATGCGGTAACTAGCCGGCGCCATCAGAGATGTTACGGTAAACTTGCCGGCACTCTGGCCGCTCGAGGCATGTTGAAGTTGAATGTGCGACGGAAAGGTCAAATCAAGTCTTTACCAGGGAGGCAAGCAAAGAAGTGCTTGAAAGCCGCAGAAAATTGGCTAAGTCCCTCCATGACCTTTAACGGAAGTTTGAACAGAAACTGGATGACCTTTGGGATCATCAATTGCCCAACAGAGTCACCGTATCGGAATTCAAGTCGCATGACCCTTTGGGACCATTAACCCAAACGAGTCGCACATCTCAACGGATCATCTTAACAAAGGATGACCTTTACCAGGGAGGAAGCGAACTACGCTTGTCTACATGACGTCCCTCCATGACCTTTATGGATCTCATTTTGAAGTCGTACAATTGATACGCACCTTATTCCAAAGATGAAGCAGTATTCCTAAGTCGTACGTGATACGCACCCGATTCTCAAGTGGATTGTGATGAAGTCGCATTACGGATGCGCAGGATTGCTCAACAGAGCGGAATGGGCCAATGTGCGGAAAACGGTGGACAGGACCTGTGACCTTTACAAGTCAGAAATGGAGGATCCTAGTCTACATTTGATTAATACTTTTGTTGATCTGTTTAACTGTTGATCTGTTTTATGATAGTATTTTTATAATTGGATTTCTTTATTCACATCGTATTAAATAGAATTGTGCCTTTATGGAATTGATGTGATAAAACGGAATAAGAGAATTTGATGTTTTTGAGCACGCACAGACACTGGCGACCGTCGTTTTCGTGGATTCGGGAGTGTGTCCAGCCTCACAGGAGCTCGGCATCCCCCCAGAGGCATGTGAGCGGGGGTTCACTAGCGTTCACGTCCGCAACGCTACGCCACTGGATTACGTGTCTGTGTTGTGTCTCGCTTCTGATTGGCTGATGTTTTGTTAGTGGGCGCGACATAGCACGTGCTGCACAGTGTTACACACTGTTGAATGGGCTCCACGCTTTACGATCGAGCTGCGCCCATCAGTATTGATTTTCTGTTCTCCAGACTTTTCAATATTATTAGGACTGTCAGATATCAGCAGCCCGCTTGTATCTACGGCACGACTGCTGCGCACGTATCGGTTACTCATTTTTCCGCTATGACTAAGAGAAAAAAAGTGAAACATGTTCCCACCACTGATAACGGATACACTGGTAGAAACACACACCAAATCTGACAGCACCGTGAATTCTGCAATAAATCTGCATTCAGTGCCATTCACTACCATGGACAACGCAGCACAACAAGCGCAAACTTGTTAAGAAAAATAATCTCACATAGCTTAATGACATATAATTAATTTTTTCTTCATGTGTAATAAATTTGCTAATTAGGTGCTAAAAAAACCTGGTGCGAAATTGCTAATTAGGGGCAGATTCGCTAATTAATTAGCTGCTAAATGTATGCTAATTAGGCGTGAATGACTCTAGTTAGTTCATATTTTCGCTAATCGCTCAGTTACTAATTATTAGGTTAATTAATTAAACCTTATTAGCTTAAAAACTTAATGACGAACTACAGTAAGTACAGCGTAATTACATACAGTTTAATACAGCCAGGATCACTACGAACGTTTATTAGTAGCGCAGGATAATTTTAAAGAGTTGACAAGCGGTCATGAATGTGAGCGCGAATTATAAAACCGAGCTCAACAGCTCGGTTTTCTAATTCAGCAACTGATTCTCCAACTGACCAATGCGCGCGGCGTTATCAGTGAATCTGTCTGACTCACAAATCAGTGCGTGAGTTGTTGCGCACTCGAGAGTTTTGACCTAGATACAATTCGCATCAGAGTCCCAATACGTAGCATATTTGACAGCAACTAATATTAAAAAGTCAGCAGTTTACGGTGCGACGTTTTGTGATTTCGCAATAGTTCGCAATCCAGATCGTATTGCTCACTTCCACGGGATAGATTCCGTTTCTGTCTCCGTCTCTGGATCCATTCTGGATCTAGCATTAGAGTAACATAGCCAGCGGTATAACTTCGCAAGTCAAGAAAATTTTTTATCTGCGCCGCCACGCCACCCGAGGGCGGTTGGAAGTCAGTAGCCGGGAAGGCGTGGCTGCTCCATAGCAACGCGTGCTCCTACTGTAATTTTTAATTAGGGCGCGTTTGCAAACCGTGATGTCTGCAAATACGGGTGACACATGAAAATTAACAGAAAACCAAGGTCTACAAAGCGAAAGACACATGCATGATAAAAAAGAGTAGTCTGCTCGGTAAAATCTGCGGTCAGTTAGGGGCCCTGGTACAGATATTACAGTGCGCCTACCATGCGCCAATCTTTACGTGATACGTAGCGTATGCGTAGTTCCCATTTTGGCGCACTGTGTAATTCCCGTAATTGGTGACGTGCGAAACAACGTCTATGGCGGTTGCCATTCCGGCGCAGATCAGAAATCAAAACAAAAAAAACTTGGCGGCGAAATACAGACCGTAACTTCAACCGTGTTTGCACTGCTGGACAGAACTCTGTTTGCTTTCGGCTTTTTATAGGAAATGGAACACCATACAGAGTAGCTAGCAGAATTAACTGTTATCTTTAACAAAATTTCGCATTGGCGCTCTGCAAACACTCCTTTGCATGTTTTACGCCACTGCGTAGCCTAATAGCAATGTGAGCACTGACGGAAAACATGCGCGCAAAATCCGGTTCAGCAAATAGCATAATTGCGGTGCGCGGATACGACATTTCGATGGTTCGAAGGAAAACAGGTATGCCAAAGGTTTCATCATGGATCACCGTTCTTCCAGTACTCCACTTTAGTATGCAGATCTTTGAGACAAGAAAGCAGAATTTCACCTTTTCGTAAACATTTAACATAAATTTAAAACGTTTAACAGATGGAATAACGGAAGAGATTGCATGTCAAAGCAATATGTACATTTACGGGAGAATTCAAGGAACAGCGGTTGCTTGCGCTAAATAAATACAAACTTTTGTTTGTATTTAAACGTTTTAACGTATCACCTACAGGCTATAACCGAAATAACGCATTATTACAGTTCCTTTATCATAACAGCAAAAAAAAAACACGAACAAGCAATTTTCGGGAAAACTCTCTTCGACCGTTCCAAAAGATTCGGTTCAGAAAATATTGCAGCAGCGGCACAGCCATACTTTGGATTACCAGCTTTGGCCACGCTAAGCTAACGGTGGTAAAAACCCAGCAAAATATACTATGATGGACAGGAACAATTGCCAGTCTGAGGCAGGTACATCCAGCGGCGTTAGTCGTTTTTCACTTAGACGCGTTGTCGTACCCGCATCAATTCACTTCCACCATCAGTAAACTCGCTGCAGTTCAGGAGAATCTGTAGAGCTTACGAACCGTCCCTGCGCCAAAGAGTTCACTGTTAACGCGCTAACTAGCCGAGAATTATAATAGGAGTAAATTATAGAAATTTAATAAATATGACAGTAATCGCAAATTAATTAAGTTTCTAATTGTAGTATAAATTAAGTATACCTAACCTTTGTCTTGCACATCTATGAGTTTTATTGTTTTATAGCATGCGCAAAGGATCCAGGAGCTTCAATTAGCTTTGCATACTGACCTTTGGATAAAACGGTAACGCGGTACGCAGGTCCAACCCGCAGGTTACACCCGACCGGATCTTTCTCGCTGTGTTGAGGACATTTGTCGATATGCACACAATCATACACGCCCGCGTCGTCCGTCTTGATGGCCCGGATCCATAAATCACCGGCCGCGGACAGTCGCTCAACGGCCACGCTGTGGTCGATGGCCACCGTCCACTGATGTCCATCCTGCAGATGCTGTTGGGCCAGGTGATGGGCATTTCTGCTCCAGAAGTACGTACTCAAACCCCGTCCTCTATAATAGCCGGCGCCCAAGCGGACTCCGCGGACATCATCCTCCAGTGGCTGGCAGCGCAGTTGCACCGACTCACCCTCTATGGCGTACATCTCATGGTGTGACGATGGTAAGCGATCTGTATGAGAAAGATTACGGTCAATCTTAGATTTAAACAAACTGGAATTGAATTCGTTGTTTTTCCGAAATACGAATTATTAAGAAAACCACATTAAAATTGTACCAAATCCGATAGCTAATAAATTAAAATGTATTTATTTAAAAATAAATAAACATGCTATTTTTTTACGGTTTTTAATTTAGTTTCCATTGGAGTTATTCAAAATTTGTAAACAGGGTCAATAAATAAAGATTTCTTTCTGCAAAGCTAATGTTCATTTTTTAAGCACTCCCTGTTTCTAGCACTTCTACGAGCCGTGCACTTTCGTTAGACGGTAAAATAAGATTTAAAAATAATACCCTAAAGCTACACGGGTTCAGTTTAGCTTTTACCAGTGGACACGATGGGTATCAAGCAGTTGACGAGGTATTTCTCATAATCGAGGCAATCGTAGGGTGACGTTGCGCAGTAATCCTTCCAGCATTGTACGACGGTGTTGTTAGCGGACTCGTTTTCCCAGAGCGGTGTCGTTGTTGACACTGGCGCGGGTAGCACACTGGGCGGACCACGGCTGGTCCATGGAATTTTGACGACGAGAAGGCTGGTTAATACCACACTCACACCAAAAACCATCCCCAATAAAGCGATGCGATGGAATTTCGGATCGGTAATATTCAGACGTTCCTGGCCGGGCACATTCGCAATTTGCCGATACATCATCAATGTCAGCGCAATGCTTATGCAACAGGTTAATAGACCCAGCGCTGAAGCAACTAAATATGTCGCTACTATCGAGTCCATGTTTCGATGTGAAGACCGAAGGAGAACGGTTGGTCGATGGAGCGCACAAATCGAATGTGGGACGCACGAAAAGCAATTTGGCAGAACGCCATTGCGCCGTGCTCGATAGTCTGGTGGATAAATATCTTCACAAACATCCGTTATCTTTATTGTTTGTATTCTGCCGTTCGAATTTTCGAACACAGGCAGGTGGCAGCTGCATTCCTTACATTCCAGACTGTCCAGGTAAGTCTAGTTCAAGTTGGATGCTGCAGGCGTCACTTGATACTAAAGTTAAGACAAATTTCTGGCTTTTTAGATAACTCTCCCTTTTTTGATAATCCTCGCTTTTTATGCACATTCGTAGAAGACAATAATAAGCCTGATCGGAAGATGGCCATTTTAACGTCCTATTTCATAAATTTTATAATTTAAATTATTGCATTACGTCAAATGTAATACTTAGGGAAGTTGTTCTGATAAAGTCGTCGAAATTTCCCAAAAAGGTGCAAAGCAATTCAAAATGGGCATAAGAAAAACCAATATCTGTGCGCTACTTCATAATTGTGATGGTGGCCAGCGAAAATATGACTGTGATAACCCTGCCCAGTTCGTGCAGCGCCGGCAACCTTTATGGTGGTGATTTAGGTGGTAAAGACAACAGAAATCAATAACAAAAAATCGCTTAAGAAGTTCAGATACTTAAACACAGTATCTGCTTGTCGTGTACATTCAAAGATCAGCCGAGGTTGTAGGAATTGGTTCGCTTGTAGGAGACTAGGAGTATCGGTATACAGTAATTCAACGATGTCACGCTTTCCTGAAGAATCCGTTCGTTCGTGGAGGAAAAGGTAGCTTAAGCTAAGTTTTCCGCTGGATTTGGTTCGCTGGCAGACAAAAAGGTGACTGGTGGAGTGGTTTTTGCAGATGATGGTGATTTCGTAACCGTGGCGACTTTGGTAGAAGTGATTGCGTTGCTTCCGTGCACTTTTGGCGCATTGCAAGGCGGCTCGTTGATTGAGTAATCAATTTGTGTGTAGTAATTAATCCATTCCGTGCCGAAAGGGAACGGTTCGGCCCGACAGTTTACTGGATGATAAAGATCCTCCTTGTTGAATTCAGAGCTTTCGAGAAGTAATTCAATGTAACGTGCATCGAACGAATACACATCGCCGGCGTCAACCCTGATTCGCAGCTTTTTATCGGCTTGCCACCAAGTCCGATACCACGCAAATTTGCAGCTGCAGTGAAGATCACGCAAGAAGCTCCGGAACGACGGATCGAAATTGTAATATTTTTGATCCTCAAACAGCGCTTCCAGTGACAAGATCTGCAGGTCTGGTAAATCGGTAAAGGTGCCCTGCTGCAATGTTTTTAGAGTGGTATTGTAAAATACAACTATTCGCAGTCGTTTCGAAGTGGCGAAGTCCTTCTTCTCGATGACCAAACTCCGAGCGTCGTACAGCTGAAAATCAAGCAAACTGGTGAAATTCAGCTCGATCAGCCTCGCGGTCACGCGCTCGGTGCTGCAGTTGCGCAGTTGCAGCTTGACGACTTGGCGTTGTAGCGGCGCAAAGGAATACCTGGCAACAAGCTGTTCGGCCACATCCATGCTCACCAACCGCAGCGGTGGTTCAGCCATGTCCACCGCCATTCGCGTCAGGATGGGCAGCGAGGCGTTGGCCCGGCACACAACCCGGAAGTCGGTGCGCAAAGTACAGTTATCCATGGTTGTGATGTCCGATTTGCAATAACGGTTGAACTGTGCGCCACACTCCTCCTCTGTCATTTTCTCCAAGGAGAACTTGGGAAATTCGTCATCGGTGTTGAATCGTTTACTGCGCGTGACGTTGAACGGGCAGTTGTAAGCAATCATAATTTTGGCAACATCGGTCGGACTAAGGGATTTTCTCCGTCCCATACCATTCGGAACGGGTATTCTGGATACCATGGCCGGATTGCGGCTGAGCGAGTACGCCCATGCGAAGGCGTGCTGGATGGACTGATAGTCGTACCTGGTGCCGAACGTGTACATCGACGGATTGATCCGATACACGGAGTAGTAATAGTCGCTGTCGATGCTGTCGTTGCGCACTTCCACGTACTGGTCGCGATCTGGGCGCTTGTGTTCGTAATCAAAGCCCAGGGAGCGCATGAGAGCCGCCATGATTTCACCTGGATTGAAGCATGTGCTGGAGTACGGTGACACATTCGATGGACTGCCCAGGTAGATATCTTGCAAGTAGCCGGTGCGTCCAAGGTCTGCGGTGCATCTAAAGAGAAAAAACTCGGGGAAACTGTTATTTGATCGGCTTTTGAAATTATTATGAATGATAGAAAAGTCGTAAGAAGCGTGACCTACCTGCCGTAGCCGCTGCCTTGAATGTGCAGGTAATCAGTTTCGTACGTTCGGGGCTTGAACAAGATGCAACCTTTCGTCAGTCTCTCCATTGTGCGAAGAGTCTTCAAAACCATTTGCCGTTCTGATTGATCTGTGGAAATAAAAGACGATTCCTGTAATGTAATATCCGAAAATATCGTGAACCGAGCCTAGACAACAGCTTGGCAGAACCTCAATCGTGCGCTATAGCCAAGAAACCATATACAGCTTAGGACGAAATGGTCGCATACCCAAAGTATCCACATTCAGTACGAATGCAGCGCAGTCCACTGTACGACTGAGTTCAAAATATCCGGTTCGTACAAGTGCACTGCACCGCATGCGTACAGAATGCTGGGTGTGGGGCTATGCGACCATTCCGTCCTACATTGTAGCAGCAGTTTGGACACAGGTAGAGTGATACGCATTCTGAAGGCCGTTACGAATTAGTTTTGGTATACTCACTAAGACCAGATGAGCTTAAGTAATAAGGGATCGCGGCAGGATTTGGCCATAGCTTAGGTCCGGTTTTAGCAACGGCATTTGCGTCCGTAAAGTTGAGTGGTTTGTTGAACAGATCCGAAATGAGAAAGTTATGGTTATTGATGTTATAAAATTTTTCTCGTCCAAGGAGTTACAATAGGATAGAATGCAGCAATAGTAACCCGGATGGGATAATAAATACAGAGATATTAAAGGTATATGAGGGCTGGAAAAATCTGCAAAAGGTCACTATTTGTCAAAAATCGCATTGGTAACTGACCGCAGCGTAGAAAAGGTCTTATAGCTCAGTAAAACTGCAAATTTGAAACTCTAACTGGACCGGAGCACTTGCGTAACAAACTGCAACGGAGGCGCGCTGGTGGCGTTCTTTCAAGTAATTCCCATGCTAGGCTGCCTACAGTCTACAGCTGAAACATCTGTCTGCTACGAGAGCTCTAGTAATTTGCTGTACCGCACAGACTGTACCTTGTTGTCTTGCCGATTCACAGCGTCAAAAACTAACAGTGCAGAATACACAAATTTGTTTTCTATTCTTAAAACTTGAACCAATTCAAAAACGGATCCGCTACGCCCCGTTCTACCATTTGTGTGTTCGTATGAGTTCTTTTTTGAGTTTCAAAATGCCCTGGAAATATTTTCGGCTAAATCAGACTGGGCGAATCTATTAACAAAATCTACCTTCCGTTATCTCCACGTCTGGATCATCCACGATCGCTGCTGCTGGGCTGAGAAACCCTGCAGCAACCAACAAATGAAATGCAACGTAATATATGGTCCTCATGGAAAAGCAGGAAAAGGGTCTGAGTATAGTCGATTACAAAATGCAGTAGGTAGAAAAAACGAAACGCAAGCCGTTCTGTGTGTAGGATATTGTCTGGTTTTTATGAAATAAGCCGGCAATGTGCCGTTAGCGTTGGATGAAAAGTCAGTGCCTCATTGCAAAATTGTTTGCTTTTTTCTATCATGCTTTCGCTGCCTGATGCAATACGTCGGATAGGTTGCAAATAGCCTCGAGCGGAGCAGATGATTTTTTATCGACCGGAACTGACGACACTTCTCATATTGTTGGCTAGCCATGAAACTCAGAACCAGGCAACCTTTGCCTTCCGGCAACAAACAAAACATGTATCCAAAAAAACGTATGCATCTCAGTGACGTATGCCCAGTAAAAAAACCAAAATGGAGTCCGCTGTGAGCAGTTGCTTATGTATTCGGTATGTAAAAAATTAGTTTCAAATGCTTGTTATTTGAAAACGGAACTGCACATTCCACACTAACTGAACCGTAGTACGGGAGGAAGCGTAGCGCCGTAGTGGCATGCCTACAGTAGCTGCCATTGTGGAGCTAATGAATCGTGCGCAATGTCACGGCATTTTACCAAAGTTAATTGCCGCAGTTAACACGTCTGATTGTACGAACTCATACCGAGTCGTACGTGCCGAATACTTTTAAGAAATTCAAAAGTGTGAAAGCAGTAATAATATGTACAGCATACGCCTATTCATTCTCTTCCCCTAAGATAGCCAAATGCGTTTGCGTCGATTCATTCGATAGTCCATAGAACGGCCTGATTTGGACACCCACGTATGGCACTATTTTTATTTTACCAAAATACATTACTGCCATAAATCGTCCTCGTTTTTTTGGGTGCACTGTTACTTGAAGGTACGTAACAAACCAATTATGGCAGTTCTACAATCTGGTTGACCAGAATTACACCACGTAATCGTTGTTGAAGAAGTACAATACAGTGAAACTCCTCTTATCATTCACCTTCCTATAACATTCACCCCTTTACAACATACATGAGGCTGGGAACCAAACCGTCCGGTAGACTATAACACAGGGGCAGTTCTCTGTATAACATTCACCCTTTTACAGCTATAACATACACCTTTTATGGAACCGGTAACATTTTTACCAGCTTATTCAACCCCTGCGTAACATACGGTTTGCTAGGCTGGGGAAAAAAACCATTTCGGTGTCTCTAAAAGGAAGTTCCGGCTTCTGTTTTTAATCTGTTTAGTACCGGATCTTCCAACTCCAGGCATACAAAAGGGCAGCAAAACCAACATTCAGACCGCATAATGTGCATACTCTGATATTTTGTTAATTGTTTGGTTAAGTAACACCCCGGAGGCTGTGCCCCTGAGCCCCTGGGGCCAGTGCCAATTGGGGGCAGTGCTTCTGTATAACATACACCCCTGTGTAACATTCAGAAAGCCTGGAACGGAGGGTGTATGTTGTAGAGAAGTTTCATGGTATACCCCGTTAAGCTGATCGTAGGTGCGGCGCGTGTCTCAGTATATATCGCATCTCTGGACATGGCGCGCCCAAAGACAGCTGACGTAAGTGTCACGCTGTGTGCTTGATGTATAGAGCAGCCGACCTCGGTGGCTGCTGATGTAGATTTCATGCATTTCCTATGGAAATGCTCGGTTTATTGCTTCCATTTTCCCTATGTCTGTATTTTTCCCCTTTTGGGTAATAAACTCTTTATTTGTAGAAGACCCGCGTCTTCCACATCCAGATTTATCTGTATTTCGAGGAGGTGTCAGACCTTCTTCGTGACATAAGTAACACGTGTCTACCGAAATCTGACTTGCAGACAGGGGCAAACATGGTACAGCAGATAACGTGCAAAAGGAAAACAAACCAATGCCAGCTAAAGAATACCGAGAATAGCAATCACTGGATATTCGGCAAAATTAATTTTGCGAATGTATGTCTGCGAAACGTTAGATCATCGCACGAATATCAAATACATTGCGCTGTGTAGATGTAGTTCTGGGGTCAAAAATTTGCCGTGATTTTTGTTCATCATTGTTTATCACACAGTCAGAATAAATTCCGTGATTTAACATTTTTCTGGTTTGTTCTTGTATGCAGCAGCATGGCAAGTTGGCAACATCGACAAGTTTCTTGTGCAAACAAAATTAAAGGCAAAACTTTGATGCCGGCAGAAATACACATACATAGTCATATTAGGACTCGCATACATATCACGGTCAGTCCAGCCTTATGTTTAGGCTGCAGCTTACATTGCGGCGTGCCGAAATTTATTCTACGACCAACTGCTAATACGTCTACGATTTTGGTACATACAGCATGTTACACGAAGTGAGGGGAACACTTCCTGTACTTTCGCACAACCAATTCGTAAATATAGATCCAACGTATAGCTAAAAAAACCCGTAACACTGAATGTAAAAGGCAAAATTATGCAATTATTAAAGATGCCATTTCCGTTTCATAGTTGAAAAAGGCTATCCAAAACATGAAGTGCTATATGAGCGAGATGGGGGATGTCCAGTTCTCGCAGATCAACATTGTCCCACTGGCGCGCCGACCCGTCCGGCCAAAACCCATTGTATCTGCAAAATGACCGAGCCTTATCAATCCCGCACAGCAACTAACTGGTCTTTGTAATAACTCAGAAGATTCACATACACTTGTAGAACAATCCGCACCAAATCCCAGTCGTCGGGATAAGCTAGAGTTTCCAGCATTCGCGCATGAGCACCGGCGATCCTGTTTACTACGGCCGGCTCAGCTGGCAAACCGACGTTTTCCATTGCTGATAACACAGTGCGCATTAATTCTCCTTCTGATGCGGTACCCGGAATAGTTAAACGGCGCAATGTAGCACTCGGATGATAGGTGTGAGCGGAGTGAAACCGACTAATGCCCATTTTTTCATACAAGGTGCGGACATAATCCCGCTTGTCCAGCAGTACACACCCGAAAGTCCGGTTCATCACCATCAACTGCCGACAGACAGGGAGGCACTGCGCTAAATACGGACAGGTGCACGCGTAACTCGTGGTGTGGCCTCCCATAGTGAACGAGAGTTGCATCGGCACCGCGTTGCCGTCTTTAATGCAGAGGATGTCGAGTACAATTCCCTTCAGACGCAGCAAGCGTACAATGACTTCGGTTAGTGTGTGGTATGTCCATGTTGTGGGATCCTCGTTTCTGTATACCGTATTGCTGATGGTGAGAACACGCATGTCGGCCGAAAGGGATTTCTCGAGAAGCACCGCGAATTTATAGGCGCAACGCTGCTCCGTCCGTGCCGTGATGGAATCCAGTTGGACGTTGGATTGGACACTGGGTGCGTCCACGAATACATGCTGGTGAGTAGCCGTATCCAGAAGCGAGCGCCACAATGAGCAGACGCTGAAATTAACACATAGAGCACCCTGTGTGTTAGTTATTTTTAAACAGTTTTATCTTGGTACACAATAAACGTGAAACGACAAAAGGTACGCGGACGGTTGTTTGAAACAATGATCGCCTACTCATTATTCGTAATAATTTGGATAGTTCCAGCAACCCCGGTCGCCGGTTACGCACCTTTTTGTAGCAAACTGGGAAAGAACATCCAGAAGCAATAAAATATTTTCCATGAGATTTGCTGGAATATCTTGGAAGCATCCTGCAAACAACGAAGTAAAATAATAATCAATACCATACCAAACTAAATACTGTGGTATCGAGTCGTGGTAGTTTCTGAGCGGAAGTTGTGTTGCTCATCTGAGATTGGCCGCGATAGTGTTAATGGACATTATGAGTAAAAGCTTAATAATACTTCCTTGTATCTTCACCAAAAAGTTTAGATTTTAAACATCTGACGTTGATCGGGCTGGTCGTGTATGCAGTAAGTGTGATTACAAGGGTAGTACTGTAGAGTATGTTTTTTAATAGTTTAATAATTTTGGTACCAGGTAACCTATAAAACTGCTGATTTCATAGAAACTAATTCTTAAAATTCCTTGTAACGATGTTGCATTTCACGTTTTTGCTCTATTAAACTTGTTGAGTTATACTAATCATTTATCCGTACTACATTAATAAATAGGCCGCAGATACATTGTATTATGCACAGTCATAGTGTTAATCACGAGGAGGGATCAACATATCTTACTTGTCACTAACACTTCGGATGGCGAGTTTACAGGCTGTACGTGCGCTATGGCAAGTTGGCTGAGATGATTGGTCCAGAATCGATCCAGGCCATCGCGCAGCCAGGCGTCACTCTGCCGTGTTGGGTCAAGTATGGCACGAGCACGCTGTGGTTTTTCGTCATTGCGCCGCTCGCCACAGATGAACGTCACGGTGTCGTTTTCAACTCGAATACTATAAATCCGCTTGACAGGGATTATTTCCGGATCCGTGCCATCATTCGACTCAGTAGGAAAACAGCGAGTACACGCATATTCAATACACTCTTTTAGTATGGGCAGGTCACTTGTCTGAATCGCGTCTGTCCTGATCACGTTGTAGTGAAGGATATGTTTGGTCCAGAGGAATCCAGTGCGACCATCATGAAATGACGGATCGCTCGGCCGGGGAAGCCGCACAATCTGATAGCCATGCACGACTCTGTATCGCGGTGGGCCGACTGCGTCAACCCGCTCATTTCGCGGTGCGTAGTAAAAACATCGGGGTGCCCAAATCACGTACCTGGAATGTGTCAATTTAAGTTGTAGGCCTTTCGATTCAATGGTCTACTTTATTGAACAAAAAAAGTTTAATTTATTCGCCGTACCCGGGACGAATGACATAGGGTCCTTGGTCAGCATCCCGGATGGCAACATGTGCGATGGGTGGCGCCGTGTGGAAATCCGCCAGGGTTTTCGGCTTCAGGGTTGAATAAGCGACATTATAGGGAAAAATATAACGGGAATGTATCCAGCGCGTGCCTACCGTTCTGGATATGAAATCAATGTAGTATCGCTCGCCTTCAATATCGGTAATGCGGCCCAGCCACCAATCACCATTCTTCAACTGAACAAGCACAAAATTCATAAAACCCATTTGTCGACTCGGCGGAGTGTGATGCACCGCTTGAGCATCCATATTAAAAATTTGTTGTTATTGCGAAAACATCAAGTACACTGGGAAGAAATTTTGGCGGTTCTGGTAATTCGAAAACGGCACACAATCCCAACTGGTAACACTGCTACTTATTTGAAGCGGGTAACAGCCGCGTAATTAGAGAAAGTGCAGTTTAATCGTAAGAGCGAGATCACGACATGATAGAAAATCTAGCAAAGCGGATCTGACGTCTTTGTTCAAGCAGGACACTGAACAAAAGCATGTTAAAATCTCCTCTGCTCAGTCGTCTTTCTACCCCGACTATGAAAAATTCTTCGGCTGCTTATGCTAGGGCCACACTTCAAGTGCGATGCAAATTTCATCGAACTTTTTTCCTTCGCACAGTTCGAAGCTTTTCTTCGCACCAAAAAGTGCGAGAGGTGCGAACCGAAGAAAAAGTTCGAACAAAATTTGCTTAAAATGTGAGCACTCACACTTCATCGAACTCTTAAAATAAATTGAGACTAGCTCCGCCTTGAGCAGGCCATGAGCGCAGAATTTACGGGATTCAGGTCGAGAGCCACAGCATTTTGCAGTAAATTTATAACCGGCCAAAATCTTGAATATTGTTAGGATAATAAGATAACCCGTAATAATATTCTCACTCCGAACTGAATTCTTCCCCGGAAAAATGCGTCCAAACATTCTGCCAAAAAAAACGTTTGTTGTTGACCATTCTGCTGTCTAGCGTTTTGATCTCGCGCCATTTCGCCAAAAAATCCTCACGAAAATTTCATGTGCGAGACATTAATATTAATCGGGGCATAAATGGAGAGTTTGCCATTCTGATAAAAGATCTCCGTCAACACGATCCTCAGCGGCATTTCAATTACTTCCGCATGTCCCGCTCGACATTTGACATCCTTTTCAACAAATTAAAACATGGACTGGCTCGCTGTCAAACTCACAAATATCCTATTAGCATTTTATTGCACCCGGATGAAACCGTACTATGGTTTTGGCAGAGGAATGACCTTTTATTGTTGATGCTACGTAATAACTAATTGCACAAATACAATCAATGTCTGTTTTTGAAATAATCACAACCACATCCGGATGCTCGGTATTGGTCAATTCGCACTTGTGCGAAGACGCCTCGTGCGAAGACGTTCGCACGCTCATACTTTTGTTCGATGCGAAGGATCTGAAAGCGTGGACCCAATGAAGGTTCACGCGTAGGAACAGAATTGACGGAATTCTGCCTACCAAAAAGCCTAGCAATGCTATAAATGCGCCTACGCTACGGAAAGCGAGAAACGGCGTGTTTGCTAGGAATTTATATAACGCAGACTAAATTCGATAGAATTTCCTCATGGACAACTCCGCATTGCTGACTGCAGCAAGCGTGGAAAATGCGCACGTAGCCGCCACACAGTGCGGGTGCGTGCAGAACAGCGTGCTTCCGCCACGCGTAAGGCGGGCGTGCAGCAAAACACAACAGACTGCCAAAGCGAGGGTGTACGCATGTACGCCTGCGCTCACATGCCTCTGGGAGGGAGGCTGAGCTCCGTCGAAGCAAATCCACATCCAATTCCTTGGGATCCTTGACGGCTCGTCTGTGCGATTAATAAAACATCGAGATTTAATCTCTTTTTAACATCACAAATTCCAATTACATGTGTGAATAAAGAGATCTCGAAACAAAAGTAAAAACAGTAAAAAATATCAACAGAATTCATTATCAAAACGACTAGGATCCTCCGACTCCTAAAGGTCACTGGGTCCTGTCAACCGTAATCCGCTTTGGTCCATTCCGCTCTGTTGAGCAATCTTTTCATCACAATGAGAGATCCGCTTTAAGGAATAAGGTGCGTATCAAGTACGACTTTTTGCAATACTGATGCTTCCTCTTTGGAATAATTGCGTATCAAGTACGACTTCTGCAAAATGAGATTCTTCCTCTTGGACATGGAGGGACGTCTTGAAAGACAAGCTTAATGCTTCCTCCCTGGTAAGGTCATTCTCTTTTTCTCGATGACTCTCTTGAGCCGTGAAGTTCTCAAAGGTCATCCCTTTTTCTTTGATGTGCGACTCGTTTGGGCCATGACGATCCCAAAAGGTCATCCATTGTTCCATAATGAGTTCCATATTAAAGGTCATGGAGGAACTTAGCCGATTTTTGGCTTTCAAGCATTTCTGCTTGCCTCCCTTGTAAAGGTCATCCTTCTTTTCAACCATTTTCTTCGATCGCACATCCTTTTCTTTCCCGTGTAGTGCAAATTGACGCGCACTTTTTCTTTTCCTTACCAGGTTCGAGGGCCGGTTAACGCCGTAACTCCTCTTTCTTCTGAGGCCGGTGATCGCCGTAACCTCAACATCTGAAAGTTTTACTCCTATTTTCTTGAACTCTTTCTCTTTTTCACCCTTGTGGCTTCTGTCATTCCGCGAGAGTGTGCCGACTCAGTAGGCCGCAACTACACTCTAAAAGTGACGTTTTAAATGTAATGAGGAAGGCCGGTTAGCGCCGTTACTCTTCCTGCTTCGAGGGCCGGATGACCTCCGTAACTCCCCATATTTCGGATCGCCTTGATCCTCTGCAACAAAACTCTGAAACCAATAGAAACACAAACGATATGACAGTTCAACAAGTTATGTCTCCTTCGCCCTGATACTGTACCTTTATCACCATTCTCGTGCTGCCGACTGATGGCCGTAACTAGCACATCAGCGATGCCCTAAAGGTCATCACTGATCATTTGAACCATTGTCGCGGTTCCGATCGAAACGTCGTCTTTCTTTTCATTACGATCAGACGTTCGATCTCGAGGTTCCTTTCCTCTCCTGCAGCTCGTCTCCTTCGCTCCGGCTGCTAGTACCACTGTGCCGATTTCGGTCACGTCTGCGTTGGATACGGATCAGATGATCTCTCGCGTCGACCATTCGCGCTTTCAATCCTTCATCGTATGGATTGTCTCGTGACCTTTGCACAATTCGACATAATCCAAGTGCAGCTGTTGGTTTCTTCGTCCGCGTCGACTCATTTCATTGTCCTGCGGCTGTCGCGCAATTTCGGGTCGATAACTGTTTTTGTTGACACTGATCTCTTGGATGAAGTCATAGACGAAGTCGGACGGCTGAATGAACCGTGTTCCCATCGTAATTCTAATCCGTTCTGCACATCGGTGAGCGTGCATTTGCGCTTGACGTCTAAGATCTTCGTCGTAAGTCATCGCCCTTTGAACATCCTTCAGCTGCTTTTTGACCGTTTCCGAAGTGCTGAAGTTCGCTACTGGTGTTCCCAACTTTATGACCTGCGCAATCAGTGCCGGCGGTATCTCCGTACCTCTTTGAGCGCTCTTTCTCAACTGGTGGTGCGTTTCGTAATGGCCAAGCCTTGCTGCAAAAATCTTTTGGATCGTGGCACGGTGATCAGGTGGCGAATCTGGTTTCACCACTAATCCCAACGCAGCCCTTCCTGCGAGGAGTCTCAGCGCCGGATTTACATGGCGTAACACAAATTGTGCCACGTGCAGACGTCTTTCCTTGATGTCTCTATACTGGAACTGTGTCATTCCTGTTGGATCCGGTGTGTCCAACGGTGTTTCCAAGAGACTCAGGTCGATCAAACTGACAAGGCCGCATTCTCTCGTCGGGAAGTAATGAAGATTCGCTGACTCTTGCGTTATGATCAGATCTTCCCATTGCCCATACTCGTACTCCTTCGCATATCCCGAATCGTTGATGACCTGGCGCAAGTTCATGAGAAGCCAGTACACCTTATCGAATTCTTCTTTATTATCCGGAGCAATGCCCACTGAACGGCAAATCTCGTTCGTCTGTTCCATGATGTCGTTCATTTCATATACCAGCTCAATGGTTTGTAGGGATTGTCTCCTCGGAGCCGTGACCTTTGATTGACCTTTCTGGTCGCCCTTCTCTGATTCCGATTCTGGCGGTGCATTACTCGCCGTCTCTGCGCTTGTAAGTTGTCGCTCCAGATCGAAGATGATGTTTCGTCTCGACGGTCGCATGTCCTCGTCTCCATGGACTTCAATGACATTTGAGGATGCTGGACTACATTCCATGACCTCATCCATCTGCTGTGCCGGTTGTTTCTCGGCTGACTTGAACGTTGAACAAACAGAATGAACTACTGATTGCATTCTGCGCGGGCTCTTAGGCGTGCGGTGGCTTTCTGAGCTGGATGACCTTTTACTGTTGTAAGATTTATCTCCAAACTCATAATCATCCATATTCAAGTTATCCTGGACCCACTCTTGATCATATGGCCCCTTTGAGGATGTTGATTTACTCGAGCCCTCACTTCTTCCTTCTCGATTCTGTGAATCGCGATTCTGCGTTTCCTTAGCAGCCCGTTCCTTCTCCTGCTGCCTATTACAGGTTTCGTTGATTTTCCTGTATTCCTCCGCCAAGCGCTTTTCTTCCGCTTCTTCTTGGCGGCGCTTTTCTCTTTGTTCTTTTTCACGTCGGATACGTTCTTCATCCCTTCTCTTTTGCTCCGACGTACGCGTATCTCTCGCGTATCCACTGTATCGGTCGTTATGATGTCTGTCCCATGACCTTTCTCGGGAGCGGTCTGATGACCTTTCATAGCCGCGGTTGCGATCATCTCTTTGAGGCGATTTTGGGCGTTTGAACTCCTCTTTCTTGAAGTTCCGAAGGGCCTCAACCACATCTTTCTCTCTTTTTCGAAAGTTTCGCATCCTGTCGATTCGTTCTTCGATCGCGATTTTGATAACCTGGGATGGTCTGTTTCCTTTCGTTAGGCTGACCTTTTCATCCAAGAAGACCTTATATTCTTCTTTCGACACAGCCAGTGGGTCTTGCAATATGATGTCAATCTGCTGTATCAGTGACTGTCTGATCACAGCTGCTTCTCCTTCATCTTGTTTCTTCAGTATCGCGAATGGGGCGGGTACGTTAATTCCCGCGTGACCTTTAGCTGCATCGGCTAAACCCTTCTCTGCCGCAGCTTTCTCCTTTTCTTCTAAGCGCTTTCGCTCTGCCTCGCGCTTTTCCTGTACCATTCTCATCGTGTCTTCTTCAAACTTCTTCCTGAACGCATCCGCTTCCGGTGTTTTCGGCGGTTCAAGGGTGATATCCCATCCCGGTCTGCGTCCGACCCACATTCTGTATTTATCTTCCAATATCATCCGGTCTTCTGGTGACAGTTTCATCCATGTGTCTCCCGTAACCAAATGCCGGAACACATCGAGGTTACCCCTTCTCGCCTCTTCTGGTACCACTACTGCTTGGTTCGGTACTGCCACCACGCAAGTCCAGCATGGGAAACGTTCGTTCGACAGGATGTTATTTCGTTTACAATCCGGGCAGTCCTCGTTATAATTCGTCAAAGGATCCCCCGTTACCTTCTTTACCGCTGGTCTTTGTCCCTTTCTCGCCACGATTTGGTTGGGTTGGCTCCGTTCAGCCATTCTGATGTCTCAGCCTGCAATCTCAAACATTATAATGCTATGACCTTTACGTTAACCCTTCTCAACGCCTATTTTTACGCCTATAGTAACTAGGCTATGCAGTGCTGAGCTGAGACTTTCTCGTTGTTTCATGATGACCTTTGTCATCCTTCTTTGACTGAACCATTCTCAACTGTATGGTGACCTTTCTCATCTTAGTCCATTCGCTAAGTAAATTAGCCCCTTCGCTAATTCAACTCTTTTTGCAGAGTGTGGTTCGAAAGTAATTTGAGAACTACGGTCTGCTCATTTCCTTCTCATTTCTGATTCTGATCCTTCATTTTGTGTGGTGGACCTTCCTCCCACACATGTTCTTCCGTTTTACGCTTTCGCGATCCAGTCGTATTGGTCGACTCCATCCTTCTTCCATGTTCTGATGGTTCCGTCTTTGACCAAACTGTCCAACGCGTTCTGGATCTTGAATCGATCCCCGTTCATATTTTCTTGGCCGGAATCATACTGAACTGCCATGTAATTGGAGAGGTCTTCTGCGGTGAACCCGTTAGTCCCGCCTATGTTCTGCATGGCATCTTTAGTCAAAGCGTCCTTCCAAGCCTGGGGACCTGGTTTCGGTCTCTGCTTTCGTTGTTCTTCCGCCGGAGGAATGTAGTAGTTCGGTTGATTCGTATTCGTGTATCGTACACCGATCTTTCCTTCTTTATACGCTCTTTTTTATGAGCTTGTTGACTTGTGTCCTGCTGACTCCGGCGTCGCCGACTGCTTTTGAAATATCCGTCTTATCCATTTCTCTCGACGGGGCTGCACCGATCGCAGCGTAAATTGTCATCCACGGGACGTTACTCTCGTTTAGCTCGTCGTCCGTCTCCTCTTTCTGCGATGGGGACTGCACTTGCTGTGTAGCTTCTACCGGCGGTTGCGATCCAGTAGGCTGGCCCATCTTTCCATGACTTGAGCTCGGATGACCTTTCTCCTCGACTCCACTTTGCGCTGAAGTCTGATGACCTTTAGCTGTTTCGTCCGCAGCATGACCTTTAACGTTGTCTTTTCCTTGCGTCACTTTTTCGTGTGTAGCCTTTAACGATGTCAATGCTGCTGAACTGGATCCACTTGCCCTTTGGCTTCGTACCGCAGCAAGTGCTTCCTGTACCGACATCGGTTTCGGTGGTCCCACCAACGCAATAGCCTCTTCAGCCGATTTCGGCGCATGCAGTTTCGGTTCACCCTTCTCTACCGTTTCTGCCTCTATTTGTTCAACGACATTTTCTTCAACGACCATTGATTCCTCTATTTGCTCTTCTTTCTCTTTCTTCGATGAAGTTGCCGCTTTTTCACTGTCCAATTTGATCTGACTCAAGATGGGGCATTCCGCATCGAGTCTCGGATCCAATATAATGGTCGTATCTTCGCTCATCTCTTCCTTCTTGTATTGTCTCAGTTCTTCTGGGACGGCGTTCAATGAACTGTATCTGATGGTAACACCTTTGTGCGGGTTTGTGGTGTGCAGCTTCTTTTCCGCCACCATCTGTGTTAGCGCTCTTCCGAGTGACCTTTCAATGACTGAAGCATTTCCCTTCTCTTTGCTCCAGACTCCATTAATGAACTGCGCCATACGGTGTTTCGTCGTGCCCATCGGACTGCACATCCCGATAATGGCGCGTTCAATCCGTTCTCGGATATCTGCGTTTGCTGTAGCCAACTTCCGCTCATTATTGTTCCCGGTGATGTACAGCTTCGCTTTGGAACCATATTTCGGATGTTTCTGGAGGACTTTTCCTGTGCTCCTTGCGTATTCCAGGACGGCGTTGTACTTGCTCTGCGGCAGTCTTTTATTCGTCTCTTCGCAATACGCCTTGACGTCCTTTCTGAATTTCGATGTAACTGATCTCGTCGCCTTTCCCCAATCTGCTGTTGCTCCGATGAGGATTTCGTCAATTTCTTCGATTGTTGTTTGTTCGTTCGACTCGCAGACGAAGAATCGGTCATCGTATTCGTCGTCCGTGTAATCCAATTCGCTGTCCCCTTCGACAGGTCTCCAGTTCACGATGTCAGCTGCATCGACTCGTCCGATAAGAGTGTTCCTGGCAGTGACCTTTGGTTTCTTCTGTGCATCCATATAATCTGCCAAGCTGGGGTCAGATTTTCTTGTGTCTCTCTGACCTTTCTTTCTTGTATCTTTCTCTTTTATTGACGACTTCGACGATGCGACGCTGACTTCCGATTTCGCCGATTCGACAGAAGTATCCCTTTTCTTCTTCTCTTTATCAGCCTTGTCCTTGCGTTCTTTCATCGTCGACGCATAGATCGGCTGCATCGTCATCGCTTCCTCCATCACCTTGCGTGATTGACCTTTGTCCTTCTCTTCGTCGGTCTCGGCTTGTGACGACCCTGCTTTTGCGTTGATAGCCAATTGTTCTGGCTCAGAGTCCGATTCGGGTTTCTCTCTTTTCTTTTCCATAACTCCCAGTAACTTCGGCTGTCTGACAAAAGTTTCACCGGCGCTACCTTCTCGTGCCGTGACCTTTACTGGTTTCCTTTTCTTCTTCTGATCTTCTTTCTTTTTCTCTTCGTCTTTCTGACATCTTTCACATTTAGGGTCGTTGCATGAGTGCGGTTGAACTTCTCCGGCAATTATCGCTTTGACCCTTTCCGCGCTTCTTACGGGAGTCGGATGTTCCTCCTTCTTGATCTCCCGTTCTCGCGATTTTTCCTTAGTCTCTTGACCTTTCGTTTCTTTCTTCTCTTCGTGACCTTTCTCTTCTGCTTTAATTTGCTCGGGCTGACCCTTCTCAGCCGGTTTCTGACCTTTTTCGCCCCCGACAGCTTGGTCAGTGTTTCGCCTCTCGAAGTGTAAAGCTGCTTGTACACTTCTCCATGGAAAGGGTCAATATGGGTCAAGCGCATGTATGCTCCGTCCTGGCGTGCTCTTGGCATCATGACGTTAACCAATACTTCGGTTATGGCTTCGAATTCTTCGCGCTCTTCCTCTTGTGGCAGGACCTGCAGTACTTGCTCCACCTCTTGCATGAGTTTTGATGTTTCCTCTTCTTCCTCTTCTGGAGTGAAGCCTGCGTTTGACACCATTTGTCCCGTCTGAGGATCGACCACTTCGATTCTGAGGATCCCTTCTCTTCCTTCTTGATTCATGAATTTATAGTCGATGCGTCGACATGGTGATCCCCTATCGATTTCTTCTTGAGTCTCCATGGCTTCGGCTTGGGCCGGCGGGTCACCAGAGTAATATTTAATGTGCTCTTCCGCCGTCGGATTAAATTGGAAGTTTTCCGGAAAATAGAGCCCTTTGCCCTTGGAGTCGAAGAGTGATTTCCACTTTCCTTCGTCATCTTTCCAAAAGATTACCAAATAGGCTCGGTCTTCTTCGGCCCTGTGCCTGAGGATACTCATCACTGCTTGTATATTCGCAGCAGTGTTATTCCGCTGGTCCTCTGGCAGGAGATTGAGAATCTTATTAAGGTCACTATACGACTTCTGTGTTTGCCATTCAATTTCTTGAGGAGTCGCATTCGTTCCTGCTGTCGGGATCGGCATATAGGTCGTCGGGTCAATGATAAAACCGTGGACGTATCCCTCATCTCCGTCCGCCATGTGATAGTTGACCTTTAGACATCTGCACACCGTCTCTCTGTATGGCGGGTTTTCTTCATCTTCTACATCTTCCCATTCTCCTTCTTCTTCCGCCTCGTGCCCCTTCGCACCTGACGCCGGATATGCTCCATGCGAGAGCATATCAATCTTTTCGCCTTGCGGGTTATAGAGTTGTTTCTCCATTCTACCCTTCGCATCAATTGTGACCATGATGTTCGCCTTCTCTTTGAATGCTGTTTCTCTCAACAGGTCTCTCAGGATTCTTCCTATCATGGTCGGGTTATTCCGTTCTGACTTAATGAGTTCACCAATCGCTTGCTCTGCTGTATCGCTGGCTTCTTTGCACATCAGCTGATATGCAGCTCGGTCAGCTCCTTCCCCCATTGATGGAATTGGTTGATCAGTGTCTCTATGGACTAGGAATGCGCTGACTACTCCTTCCGTTTTATCTTTAAGCCGGAAAACTCTGGTGTGCGATCTACATTTTGTTTCTCGAGCTGCGCCCCTTCGCGTGCTCGCGCCAGGATGACCTTTCGGTTTTTCTTCTCGACCGGTGTGACCTTCCTCCACCGGGAGTTGACCTTTTTCATATTTCAGTTTCGGTTTAGTTTCTCTCGCCGGGCTGGTACGCGATGATCCTGATTGTACTGCCGATGCCGTACGAGACCTCAATTCCATGATTTCTCTGTCGAGTTTATCCCTTTCTCTCAACAGTTCTCTTTCTCGAGTTACCAACGGGTCACTCGGAGGCTGAAACGGGTCATTCCTCGTTCGCTTGGCCGTATGCTCTTCCTTAGTGGGGCTTTCCTCGGCCGGAGTTTTGACTCCTCTCTCCTGTTCTTCTTCTTTTGGTTCCGGGGGAATAAGGTTCATGAAGATCAGTATCGTCTTTACTGCGCTTGGCCATTCCCTGTTGCGCAACACTGGATTACTGTTCTTCAGTGTTCTGATTTCAACACCTCTTTCTTTTCTCAACTCTTCCGCCTCATGTTTATCCAGTTTCATGTGGAGGTGGGTTCCCCTGGTTATCTTGTGAGTTCTTCGAGCCGTCCTGTACTGATCTTGATTATCGTTGATATCGTTATGCAGCTGGACGAACTCGCGGCATTTTTCATTAAACTCCGCCACAGCCTTCTTTTCTTCCTCTGTGAGGGTGACCTTTGGATCCATTACAATGTTGTACTGCGGATCCGTTTCTGTGATCGGGTCGTTGAATCTGGGTGCATTTAACACTGCCCACGGGATACTTCCAGTCGATCTTGGCGAGTGGATTCGGACTGGTGTAAGTGATGGGATCTCCATTCTCGTTCCCTGGCCACTCGTCGACGCCCTCGGAGTAAACGGCTGACCGCCCCTTCGCGGTGTGTTCTGTCTATCTCCCGGGAAACGATGACCTTTTGACGGTTTTGGT